AATTCACGCACCTTCTCGTAATCCAAAATTATTCTGATATTGCCATTCCCAATTTTTCTTTTAGACACTCAAATACGTTCTTGTAGACGGCGCGGGTTTTTTGCGCGTTATTGCAAACAAAATAGGAACCTAAAGTTTTAATACTTTTATGTAATCGAGACAGTTTACTTCAACAAACCTCGAAACCGCCACCGCACATCGCATGAACGGTGTACAACTGCCCTTTTTTCAATTCCTGACTGGATCGTGATGGGGTTTAGCTTGTGTACACCGTCTCCGATCAATGCCTTCGGACCGATTCCAATAGTTGCCTGAGAATTTTGAAAAAAATCAAAATCTCAAAAATAAAAAAATCTAAAAAATACCGCGATGACTTCGTCAAAGCAGAACGTGCAAGTCCTGCAATTGAAGCTGAAGAAAGTCTTCTTCGCTCGGCAGAATTCTAAGTTTTTCGGGAACGTCGTTCATCTCCACTCGTCTGATCCGTGAAGACGTAGCTTTCTTTTACCGTAACTTTTTTGCACGAAATTAGCCAATACTTTTTACTCGCTTCCGGTGTTCTGTTTCCTTTTATATCAGCATATCAGTGACCTACTCAATTTTTGACTTACTTTAACTTATTCATTTGACCTACTTTGGCTTATTAAGATCCCTTATCATCACTGAATCTTGAAATGCTTCTTTTAACAAACTTCTCTTGTCATTTTGGGCTGTCCGATCTCCTCCGGCTTTGAACCTTGCAAAAAATTTTTTGTGATGAATAAACACATTTTGAATTTTGAATTACTTCAGCTTCTGGTCATTTTGAAAAATTGAATTCTCTAACCATTTTTTCCTGAGAAAACTTTACTCTATGTAAATCCGTTCATTTGTTTTTATCAATAAACTAGGAATTTTTTGCTACTTAAAATGATATAGATATTGATATAATATATGGTTGATAATATCGCGCTGTCCCTGAGGCTGATATCGCACCTCAGCGTGACGAGGTGCGAGGCCAGGTGCGAGAAAATCTCTCGGCGGAGAGTTTTAGACGGCTAGCGTAATTATCCTACCATATGCGGCTGCGTTGACGGCAGCTCTGGCGGCTGGCTGCGGCAGCAGTCGGCTGCCTATATACCACTTGCACGCCTCCCGCGCTTGGCGGAGAGAGGCAAAAGAACCTAAGTTCAACGCGCGCCAGAAATAGACGCGAGTCGCATGTTGGAGGAGATATAGTCGTCCTCACCCTCACTAGTCGCTAGGTGGGCAAATTCGAATTTGAGTTTGAGCACGCCAGTTGCGGTAGAGCACGGCTCAACCTGCAATTCAAGCCTACGCATACTTTCTTTTTGTTTTTTTCCCTGGTTATTTGTATTTTCTGTGTATTAACATGGTTCGTTGACAATTTTATTGTAGTCGAGACAATAATTCATACTCTGTCCTCTTTTCTCAACTTTGCTGTCAGGTGAGAGATTACGATTGAACATTTTTGTTCGCAATTTTTGATAGGTATTGAGTGTATGCGGAAGTGTTGCTTTAGTGCATTTTATGTCACAAAATCCCCATCAGCCTTGTTTATACAGGGTGTCACAAAAAACTGTGCCTACTGTTTGATTTATTAACTTTCTTGTAATAAAGGTCTTTCAAAAGCTTCTACCGTTTTGTAGAGCTGGCTTCAACTTAGATTTGCATTATAGAGCGAATCACCGAACGCTCTTCATTTCTGTTGGATCATGATAGAAACTTCAAATATATGGTGTCACTGTGAAAAAGCTGCCCTTTCAAAAATTTTCAAAAGAATGTGAAAACTCGGGTAATAGGGTTTTCGTGGACCCTGAGTTCAATAATCAGCTATGCGCAAGAATGCAAGGCTTTTCAGACGGTGTAACCGCACTTTTTAAGAACATTGAAAAGCGGTCGCTACTGCTTACCTCGCATAACTTTTTAATGAAGCATCATGATAGGTTGCGAACTTTACATTTAGAATCAGCTCTAATTAGCCCAGTATGAAAGTTTTCAGGTGTATTGTTTTTTCCTGAGGTAAAATATGGCCTCTTATGGCTCAAAACTCTCTCTAAAGTTCCTATCGTAAACCTACAGTAATGAAGAGGTCGGTAATTCACTCCATACTGCGAATCTAAGTCGGAGCCAGCTCTACAAAACGGTACTTGAAGCTTCTTGAAAGACAAAATTACAAGAAAGTTATTAACAATCAAAAAGTAGGCACATTTTTTGGGACACCCTGATTGATTGTTAGCAACTGTAACTCAATAACTGTGCCTACTATTTGCTCACCCGAAACTAGAGTTGCAGAAACGAAAGCAGTGGTAAGGAACATTGCTCAGGAACAAGAATGCCATCAGTTCCGATTTCATACATTGTCAACACAGACAAAATAGCGCATAGAGACAAAGAGAAATAGAGAAAAACATACTTCAGCTGCTACTGAGGGCTGAAAGTGCCGCGTTCCACCGCAACGGCCATGCTCAAAATTAATTTCGAACTTGCTCATCTAGAAAGTGGGTGAAAACTACTATATTAACATCAAAGTTACCATATTTGCATGTGGAGAAGAGGTTGCGGTAGAAAAGCTCTAGTGCGTCATGGACATCTGCAAAGAAACCAAAAATAGAACAGATATCGCAACCATCCATACCTAGCACGGACATTCGGCGACCATGGTTTTCTATTATGTCGCTTTGCCAACTAAGTTGGGGAAGGCCGAAAAGAGGCAGAATTAGAGTAGACTTCTAGTGGTTTGGAAACACTGATGAAGTTCGAACCGTTCTAGGCCTCCGAGGTTAAGCATTGAAGAGTAAGGCTAATTTGGAATAAAGCACCACACAAAACTGGTGAGGAGAACACAGATTTTATGAAGCAAACGTATTAATAGAGCAGAGAGCTGTCAAATGCACACGCACACTTCACTGAATAGCATAAGGCGAACAATACATTACACAACCTATTATGTATTACTCTGCAGCAATGTTTTGCTGCTATTGTCTCATCAATGCTTTTGCTAGGCTGTTGAAATAGCTTTTATGAATCTAAAAAAGTTGTGGGGACCACCACGTTTTACCTTGTGGAGAACTATTGACTGAGTAATCAAAGCGGTTGACTCAAAAGCATTTGCTGAAGATGATATTTTAGACGTTAGATTAGATTATAGACGTTCGAATAATTTCGCTTTTTTTAAGCGAGCGCCACCCCCTGCAGATTGAAGATTTTCGGACAATTTTGATTGCATTCAATACAGCTTTTCAATTTCTTTCGACTGGTTGTGATTGCTTTACAGCGTAAAGAGTGAGCCGTAAAATCAGCAAAAATTAATAGTTGTGATTTTGCCAAGGTTGATTTTCGCTAGATACTAAGCGATTTGTTTATCCTCTCCATATCTCGTCAGAATTTTTTAGTGAAATTTCCATTGTAACCACGGGTTTTAGTACGCCTATCTTAGACATAAGCGCATCAAACACCAATGAATCTTCAGAATTCAAGACTTTCAAAAGCGGACTATTATTGTAAAGAGGAGAAAAAGCTGCATCGATTGACACCAGAGTCACTCACCAGCTGATGTTTTACGAACTTTTGATCAGCTTTTGGAAATTAGCATTACAAAATTTTACCAAAAACTGTGGCGAATTAGGTAAAGGAGAAGAAAAGTTTATTTTATAGGCTTTGCTCTATCCATCCCCCACCTCGACTCCTTCGGGTAGTCTGTATAACACTTCAGAGAAATAACGAAATTTGATCATGGCAAAAGCCATGAGTTGTAGTTCTTGGTAATTTTCTAAGAACGCTATTTATATCGCAATGCGATCCTAAACTTTGAAGAAAGGGAAAAAAGTTGTATTGGCTGCAACTAAGACCTTTTGAGAACCTTTGATCGGCGGTATGTGGCGCTTATTTGCAAAAAAAAAACGAAATTACTTTTGCAACGGCCTAATATTAGGTCATTCCGAAAGTAATTTCGCTTTTTTCAAACGGACGCCACAGACGATGGAACAAAGATTTCTAGGAGATATTGGTAGCATTCGATGCAGAATTTCATTCTCTTTCTAAAGGTTATGTAACTGTTGCAAAACAGTCAATGAGCTTTTAGAAAATGACCAAAACCTGCAACCCATGCTTTTCGAGATGGTCAAGTTTTATGATTTTTTAAAACTGTTATATCAAACCTCAGAAGGATTGCAAGTAACGATTCGATAGAATAAACCTTATAGAATACAGTACTACTTTTTTTGTCCTTTCCATAGCTTGTCATACATTTTTAACAGAATTTTAACTGATGCTACCGATTTCCATACTTGGACATCTAAATCCTCGTAGAACATCAAAAGAAAAGCAGCTCGCGCACTATTCGATGCAGCATTTTATCCTCTTTCTAACAGGTGTTTTTTGTTTCCGATTCGTTTAGTTTCCGGGGATGAAATCATCATAATTCATTTCTAAAGCGAGCCCCAGGCTGTACCCGAAAAACTCGAAATTTGATATTTCGAACCTGTAAACCCTCACATGCTTTGTAAAATTTATGCTAACTAATAGTACTATCTTGGTAGTCTCAAATTCCGAAAAATTATGATGTTTGATGCGATTGTGGCTGAGGTGGGCCTGCCAAAATCCGATGGTTCTCTTAAATAATCTTTTAAAAAATTACGGCGAGATACGAGGAAGAGAAAAAAAGTAGTACTGTATTTTATAAGGTTTACACTATCGAATCGTTACTTGCAATCCTTCTGAGGTTTGATATGAAAGTTTTAAAAAATCATAAAACTTGACCATCTCAAAAAGCATGGGTTGCAGGTTTTGATTATTTTCTGAAAGCTCATTGAATGTTTTGTAACAATTGCTTAACAATTAGAAAGAGAATGATATTCTGCATCGAATGCTTCCAAGATCTCTTAGAAATCTTTGTTTCATCGTATGTGGCGTCCGTTTGAAAAAAGCGAAATTACTTTCGGAACGACCTAATACTTTTGTAACTTGCTTTAGGCTGACCAAATGAGCTGTGTTTGCAGATAGAAGGTAGATGCATACTTGCATTGGCCGTTCAATCCAGCATTGGCTTTGGTCCTGAAATTTACTTTGGTAGTCCGTTATTTGAACAATACTGCGTGCGCGTGGATACCAAAACCAAAACTGTTGTATTAGCTCGTGATAAAGCTACGTCTATAACAACTACTCTCTCAAGGTGAGAAGATGTTTCCCATTTATGTGCTTTGCTCGCTTTCAGCCTGCAAGCGTAACGTACATTCGGAAATCCGATTTGAGATATTATATTAGAAATGGAATTAGGAAGAGGGATGGACGTAAGATAAAAGTAGAGCAGATATTGCTTGGAAGGATTGGAAATTTCATACAAGAAGGAAAATTTTGCAAATGAAAGAGAAAAACACCAAATTGATGGATTATACTCATAAAAATTTTGAAGCAAGAAGTCCTTACGACTGTGAACAATGAGAAGACTATGCGAATTATCAAGAACCAGTGCGTCGCCTCTGCTTCGCAGAGGTTCGCACTGGCTCTACTATCTATGTGCCTTTCTCATCCTCGTAAAATCATGGCACTGGAACTCACCGCGCTATGCCGACTACCACGAATAAAATGTAAACAACCACTCATTTAGAAAGTTTTTTCACGTGAGATCGGTGATTTCGCATGGATGAAACTTTTCGCAGGAACACAAATGCAAATTTGAATAGGTTTTTGGATTTGTCATTATTTGGTAGTCGCCATGAAGGTAATGATAACCGTGAGCTACATCTCTGTGCGAAAATCTTCTCAAACGCTTAGCTAGAACCTTGGCAAATTGACCATTTACACAACCAATTCGTTTTGACGCCGTTTTCGTTATAGTAAACTTTCAAGCACTTTTCTAGCTAAACTCCATCGATTGCACATTTGCTTACCAAACTCATCCACGACTCTGCAAAAAGTGGTGATACGAACCGAATTTTGCGGCACAGAAGCCAGGTGGATCCGTTTGGCGCGCAATTTCTGAGGGATCCACTCAACGAATCTAATCGTGCTTTTGCATATTGGGCTTCCACGAAGGTAGCATGCGCTATGCAAAATTTGGGCTTAGAACGTTTGCTGGAGCACGCTCTACGAATTTCGTGACAGACAGACGTACACACAGACACACAGACAAACAGACGTAAGCAACCCTTAGCCCGTTATTATTAAGTCATAGATGTTTAAAAACATCTCTTACCATGCAATTAACTTAAGCTTGCCAAAGAGTTTAATGTACTAGGTCGGTAAAAAAGTTCTTTCCGTTTTCTGGACCCCGCAAATCTCATAGAGTAAAGGCAAAAAATGCTTTGAGCATCCGTTACACAATTTTTCCTCTTTTTAAGCTATGTTTCCAATGCACTGCTTCGACGAGCGGTGAGTTGATTGCCGAAGCTTATAAACGCTCACTTTTACCCGTGCGATGATAGCGCATTCACTTTGTAAAATCAACACTGTTACCACTCATGTTTTAAAACTTCAACATTCTTGAGATTTTGCAGTTTAGTGCAAATACGTGTTATGCTATTTTTTCGAAATTCTAGGCTATTGAGTTGAAGAATTTAGAAAAATTACACTAATTCACAAAGATTGGTCCTTGCAGATGGTAATCAGTGCACTACTGAAGTCTAAAAAATTGTGACAACTAGCGAGCGTCAGACATGGTAGAAATAAAGGGTTGCAATCTTCGGCAATTATTTCAACACTCATCGGAGCAGTCGCATCGGAAACGTAGCTGCTAGAAAGAGGAAAAACGATGCATCGAACACCTTTATGTGTTTATTTAACGTTACTCTACTGAGTTGTGGGTTGGTCCAAAAACTGAAGAACTTTTGAATTGAGTTGATATCTATATATAAATGAAATTCAATTGAGGTTTTGGTTTATTCTTCTGTTTTATAGAAACGTCCGCCATTGAACAGATTGAGCTGAAACTTTGCACACTCATGTATTCGCCATCGATTTACCGTTTTGTTTACTTACATCTAAGGAAATGAGAGCATCTCATGCTCTAACCAATCATTTTTCAATGAACATGTAAGCAGGGGCGGTGAAACTCATTCTGATCTTAAAGTCGGCAAAAGGCAGTTCGTCTGAAAGCGCTCTTCGCGCATGGCAGAAGTCAAAAATAATAACATATTTTGTTGGTTTTGACTAGTTCAGTCCTTTCGGACCCAATTTTCCCCGTAGGCAGAAGAGCCATTCCTAAAGATTTTTACATACTACCAAGTGATAATCAACGGAGTTTGGAACCTTTTCGAATATGTAATCTACTTTTTTAAACTTTTTGATTTCTCAGTTTTGCGTTACTTTGTATTTTTATGCAGCCCCCATGTATATAGACCCAAAATTAATTAGTAGCTGCTCTTGCTTAGCACTGTACTTACCAGTTTTGACAAAATTCCGAATATTCCTGGCTTATAAACGAGATTACTGACACATGCTGAGTAAGGTGATATGTAGCAGTAAATAAAATATGCTTTTGCTTCAGTATAACACGTCTCTAAAATGGGGTGGCAATAGCTACCATCAGGTTTGAAAGGGTTAATCTCGGCTGAGGGGCGGGATTGCAAGATATTATTATTACTTATAATAACGGGCTAAGGATGTTTACGTGACTTTGTGTGTGTGTCTGCGAGTGTGTCTGTTAGGGTGCCTTCATACCGCGCCGGCAGCCGCCGCTGGCAGCCCGTAGCAGCCGCCAGCAGCCCGTAGCAGTCCAAGCAGCCGCCTGCAGCTCGTAGCAACCCACAGCAGCCGCCAGCAGCCCGCAGCCGCCGCTGGCCGCTTTTGTCATATAAGCGCAAAGTCATCAAGTTCTTACTATTTTAAGTGCAACCGCCCACACCCTCCATCCTCCACGCTTTTTCCTTCCCGTTGCCGCAATTTATCTCATATATCATCATACTTGTGTCGATTGTTGTTATTATCTTGTTACCGTAGATTGGTTATCCTATTGATGCTCAGTTTCCCTCTCGTAATTGAACCATATTTCGCCAAAGTTTCTTCACAATGTGATTTCTTGTGACTTTGGATGCGTAAAGTCCCTGCGGGCTGCTGTTTGTTAATTTTTTTTATGTATGTTTTGCTTCAATCATATCACATCGGCGTTTAACATGGAAATTATGGGCAGGCGCACGCAAAGTATTAAGAATTTGATGATTTGCGCCTCTATGTTAAAAGCGGCCAGCGGCGGCTACGGGCTGCTGGCGGCTGCTACGGGCTGCTGCGGGCTGCTGGCGGCTGCTACGGGCTGCCAGCGGCGGCTGCCGGCGCGGTATGAAGGCACCCTTACGTAATTCGTAGAGCGTGTTGCAGCCAATCTCCCAGGCTCAAAATTTGCACAGCGCATGCTACCAGCATGAAAGTCCAACATACAAAAGCACGAGCAGAGTTAAGTTAAGTGAAATTCTCAGAAATTGCGCGTCAAGCGGATCCACTTGGCTTCTGCCCCGCAAATTTGGGTCCATATTTCTACCTTTTGCAGAGCAGTGGATGTGTTTGGCAAGTAAGTGTGCAAGCCATCGAATTAGGCCCAAAAAGTTATCAATAGTGTACCATTTCACAAAAATGGCGCCAAAAAGAATGGGCCGTGCGAGTCGTCAATTTGCCAAGATTTTACCCTAGCATTTGACAAGATTTCTGCACAAATATATAGCCCACGGTGGTTATTGTCCTTATGGCGACTTTCAAAACAATGGAAAATTCAAAAAACCATTCAAATTTGCGTTTGTTCTTCTGCAAAGAGTTTTATGCACCCAAAATTACCGATTTCACATAAAAAAGCTTCCAGTATGATTAGTTGTTTACATTTTATTTGTGATAGTCGGCATTGCGCGGTGAGTTTCAATGCCGTCACTAATCGAGAATGAGTAGGGCATTCAGATAGTAAAACCAGTGCGAGCCTCTGCGAAGCGGAGTTGACGCACTGGTAATACATAAAGACAACAGGCGTTTTCTCACAAGACTCTAAAAACCATTGTCTTCTGCAGTGTTTAGCTTGCTTATCTGAAAAGCGTTTTCAGTTTTAAACTCAGAATGGAAGAAGTTATTTCACGCACAAAAAGTTGATGTTCTTGTTGAATTTTGCCACAACTGCTTGACATTTTAAGGCATGGTGAAAAGTCGTTAACTCCAGTCATCGCTTTTTCTTTGAGTGGTTTCACGCCATGTTAAATACTCCAATGCGAAACAAGTCGATGTAACCTCAAGATACCCTAGGATTTGAGAGAATCCTGAAGCCAAGTACATACAGCTTACTTCAAGACTTCCGAGCTAAAACTAAAGCTGTCTGGCACAGATCTCCTATCGTCAAACTCTGTCCTCAGATAATGTCGCTGCTACGTCAGTTGATTTGCTTCCAAAACCAACAAACCGTTCCATTCTTACTCGCCTAGTAAGGTCAGGTGAACCTCATTTCTGAGGAGTTACTTCTTTCGCAGAGCCTTACGCCAATCTAAAATTCATGTTCTATTTAAATAATAATCATTGGATAAAACTTGTTTTTTTTTGAATACAGGGATTTCGGAGGTGAAGAAGATAAACAAAAGGTCATACAGGTAAAGGAGTGCAAAGAGATAGAGATCGTTTTCAAAAGACTCCTCAGGACTTTAACCCACGTGATCAAATCCAATTTGAATGCATCGGTAAAAGCAGCTTTAGCATTTTTCTCTATACGGGGTGCATTTGTTGAGTCAGAGAGAAGAATCAGCCCAGGTAAGCGGAAAATTTTCAGTCATAGACTTTGAGGGACGCTGTTTTAAAGTTTATTTCGATTATTGATTTGTTTGACGGGAGTCAAGCAATCATCAGTCTTTGAAGAAGAGCCTATGTTTATATCAGCATACTTTATATAAACTATTTTAGGACATGCAAATCTCGAACCAGCTCTACCGGCTTTCCTCCTAGTAGATCCAGCAAATCTCAAACCAGCTCTACCGGCTTTCCTCCTAGTAGATCCAGCAAATCTCGAACCAGCTCTACCGGCTTTCCTCCTAGTAGCTCCACTCAAAGGTATCACTGACGGATTTTATTTGATACGCTATCAGCAACATCTTTGCAGCACAAACACAACAGAAGCATTGGTCACAACTACAAAGATAACAGCATTTGACTCGTACAGATATCCTCTCGTTTTCTTAATTCTTTCGCTCCTATTCATGTACTAAGAGGTTGTAAAAAATAACAACAGTTTGGCCGCCTTTCACTTCCTCGTAGCAATTTTAACAAGTTATGCAGCAGGTGATGCCTGCTGCCTTCGAAGGTTTGTATGAATGTTTTCTCTTCAAATATATTAGGTTGTCCCAAAAGTTCTTGCGCCGGATTTTCAAAAAATCAATTCTTCCTTGCCACTTGATGGATTTTCTTGATTTTGATTTTATTTGAAAGAGGAAACCTTTCTCTCTACCAGAGTTCCTTTTTTGTGAAGCGGCGTCAGAAGGTTATAAAGCTAGAAGCAATTGAATAAAATCAGTCAAGATCGGAAGTTTTCAATGGATCACGAAGAATTCTGGAAGTATTTTTATTTGATAGAGAAAATTTTGCACATTACAGTGGTGCCGTTTTCATGAATAAAAACGAAGAAGATCGAGAGTTAGAAGCAAATAAAAAGAATTTCTTCAGTTTTGCAATTCTTGATCATGCTCAAAAAAGCTTGAAAACGTCACAGAATAGGCGAAGAAGTGATAAACATGGGCTTTGTGATTTTCCCTTTCTAGCTGAGCTAAAATCGTGCCAATCGGGAGCAATTTCGATTTTCGTGATTTATTCGGATTTTCAGGCCTGCTTTTTTCACGAAAATGAAAATTGCTCCCGATTGGCGCGATTTTCGCTCAGCTACAAGGGAAGGTGACATAATCCAAGTTTATGACTTTTTCGCCTTTTCTGTGACGTTTTCAAACTTTTTTGAGCATGATCAAAAATTGCAAAACTGAAGAAATTCTCTTTATTTGCTTCTAACTCTCGATCTGCTTCGTTTTAATTCATGAAAAGGTACCACTGTAATGATCAAAATTTTCTCTATCAAATAAAAATACTTCCAGAATTTTTCATGATCCAGCTTGAAAATGTCGATCTTGACTAACTTCAATAGCTTTTAACTCTCGAACTTACCAACGCTGATTCGTGGCAAAGATACCCCTATAAAGAAAAAGGTTTCCTCTTTCATACGAAAATAATTTTGAGAAAAATCGTTGAGGAGAAAGGAAGTTATGATTTTTTTGAAAATCCGGCGCAAGAACTTTTGGGACAACCTAATATAAATGTCTAAGATTGGTACCAATCAACAATTCTTGTGACTTCTTCTATAGCAAAACCACTAAGAGATAAGTGTATTGAACGAAGTGACGTTCAGAACTATATCTTTAACACCCGTAAACCAACAGCACCAAGTATTGTCTGCCACGCGGATCTTTAATCGATTGAATAATTTAGGGTTTCTTCATATTACCGCAGCCTGCGGAACACGCCGCAGGACGCGGCAGACTGGTTGCGGCAGGCCGTTGCAGTCGCAGCGAAGATACGTTTGCCACTGCAGCTCTGCGGTTTTTGTTACTCTTCTGCGCACTTTCGCGCTCGCAGAAAGTAGTTGTACAGAATAAGCAGTCTTCTTTCTCTTTTGCCTTGTCTCATCATAGATTCAATATTTCATCCACGTTGAATTCAAGTGCGTATTTGATTTCACCAAATTTGTTTCGCTTTAGTCAGTTCTCAGTCAATGACTAATGTGCTATCCTGTCTAGTAATACTTAGGGGTTACTATATTTTCATGTTTTTGCATGTTTTCCCTGCAATTGCATACGCCGCAAGCTGCGGCAAGCTGCTGCATCCTGCAGCGTAGTATGAAGGAAACATCAAACTTGGACCATTAAACCGTTTACTAGACATGAATCGCATGCGCTGCCGATTAACGCTACAAAACATGGAGTTTTAGAATATAAAGATACCTGCCAAGAACATGAGGACTCAAAATCTTATATATAAAGCTGAATGTCTGTTTGTATGTATGTATGTCTGTATGTGTGTACGTATCTTCCGAATAAAAAATTCCATTTCTGAACCGATCGGGACCAAACTTGGCACACATACACTTCGGGCCCCGGCGGGTGTCACAGTTCACTTTTCGTTATCGATCGATGTCGATTTTATCGATTTTTTGCAAAATTTGAGCTACAGGGCTGGGAGTTGGCACAGGGGGGTAATCGAGCGATAAAATCGACATCGATCGATAACGAAAAGTGGACTGTGACACCCGCCGGGGCCCGAAGTGTATGTGAGAAAGGGAATTTTCTATTCGGAACATACGGCGGAGCCGGGTAAGCCAGCTAGTATGTCATAAATGACAAAACAAATCAATCGATGATAAGATCAATATCTGTTTTTCTAACAAATGCCCAAAATTTCGCCTTTCATGTTTTCGTCATTCTAAGGTCATTCCGTTGCCCTGTTACAGTTATGTAGTTTGAGATGTGCGAATGTCCGAAAATCCAAATCTCTGGAAGCCCTGTACTGAGGACCTAAACGGCTTTCACTACTTAAGTGGGAGGAGCTTGATAGGGTTTGGGCGTGGCTTGATAGCACTTTCGCAGTTCCAAGACTATTATCTTCATTCAGAGACAACATTGGGGGACCAATGTTGTCAACCAATGCAGATGCCCCTTTCCCAGGGCCTACATTCAGAATAGATACTAATTGGAGGGGGTTCAGTCTTGCCTGGACGCCTGCCTCTGAATTGTTGCGATAGTTTTGTTCATTTTTCTGATTGTTCATTAAAGCCCACAGAGTTCTGATCGAAGAAGAAATAAGGAAGTTCCTCACAAGACTTCGTGCTCGAATATCAATAAACCTTGCCATTGTGATTCAAATTTTAATACAAGTTTTAAGCTGTCGACCAAGGTTGGTAGCAAGACTTTATTAAACGACAAGTCAACGTTTCGGCGGTCCGTCCGCTTTCTTCAGGGCTTCCTGAAAGATCGAAACTTCGAGAACTGCCCGCTCAACGGCCCATATGCACGTACATCTCCGCTGGGGAGGACAGGGGATCTGAGAGGGGATGCGTCATATCTCGTTACTCTACGTATCTTTCTTCTTCTCTATCTTGCTTATGAAGGTTCTCATACCCTTATACCTGGCATAATGGATGCCAGGTTACTGCCATACAAAATTGGTTTTTTGCCATTTTGTGTGATCCCCAGGGGATACCCTGGGGATCACTACCCTGGGGATCACCTCTCATTTTCAAACTAATTTATCTTTCCGAGAAGTCAATGAAAACGCTATAATATTGTAATGAAGATATACTACGGCACTGCTAAGCATGTTTTGGACAGGAGAAATGGAATCTGAAGATTGTGATTTTTTCGATAATCCCTGGCTCGCGAGCTAGGGATTACCGAAGATTTCGATATCCTGAGTCACTTATTTTTACTATAGACATCTTTAACATTGCCGTAGTTTATCCACAGTACGATTTTAGAGCTTTTCATTGAGTGCGCAGGGAGAAAATGGCATTGAAATTGAGAGCTGATCCCCTGGGGATCCCCGGGGGATCACACAAAATAATGAAAATGTAAACAATTATGCCAGTAACCTGGCATTAATTATGCGCAGGTATTAGGGTATGAGAACTTTTATAAGCAAGATAGAGAAGGAAGGAAAAGAAACGTAGATAGCGAGTTATGACTCATCCCCTCCCAGATCCCCTCCCCTCCCTAGCGGGGATGTACGTGCATACGAGCCTTTGAGACCTGCCCGCTCAACGCCGTGTTTGGGAATGGATCTAGTTTAGCTATGTGATGGAGTGGCAGAGTAGATTTTGAAAGCCTGACCTCAGCCTTGCCAGATCGGGACGTAGAGATCGAACAACCAGTACCGCGCTGCAGCTGCGCTGTGAGTGAGTGTGATAGTTAGTATCAACAATGCCCTTTATATGGTCATAGAAGATCTCATATCAGAATCCACATAGTGTTTGATAGGAGAACAATTCGCTATCTATGGCAATGCCTTCATCTGTTCATTTTTGATGTTTTAGACGCTATCCAAAAAGTCTCCAACGTTTTGCGGGCTATTAACTCAGATTCGTGCGACAAGATCGTAACGGTGACTTGAAAGATGTTTTGACAGGGCCGGGCGGGGCCAGTAAGCCAGCTAGTTTGTTCTAAAATCAGCTCAAGGTATAATACCGCTCACAGAATGAGCAAACTTCCGTGAACCTCGCGGAAATCCGGAAATTCTGCAAAAGCCCGCGATATCCCGGGAGGTTCGCGACATTGCAGGATCCACGGAATCACGGGCATCACGCAGACTACGCAGCTCCATAACTTCCTTCGTGAATATAATTTAAATCCAAAAGAAGTATTGTGTTCAGCTCGTCCAGGCACATCTTTTGATGTACAGCATGCCCTCAATATTTCGTTTCCACTTTTCTCAAATTCTTCTGTGGAGGTTCTTTCGCGAGAATGTAACGCGACGTCTGTTCAACATAAAGGTTCCCGGAAGAATATCTGATGGTAGTGTTCTTATAGGTTATTGCGCGCTAAAAAGTAGCCGAAGACTGCCTTCCAAAAGAGACAAAAGCGTTGGTGAATTTTGGAAAAATCGCACGTTTCCAGATTCTCTCACCGTGACTTTCTAGCATGATGGCAGCATGATGCTTCGTAGCATGATGCTCAGCTCTTTAAGGCGATCTTTCCGTATGCAGCATGTCCTCAAATTCCGGTTTCAATATTCTGCAATCTTTCTGCGGACCTCTCTTCGCAAAAGTGTAAAGCAGCGCGCATTGCCTCTAGCAGATCCCAGCAAAGACATTTCGATAGTGCTTCTTTTGTGGATTATGGAGTGCTAAAGAGTAGCCGCAGAGTTCTTTCTAAAAGAAACAGAAGGGCTGGTGCTGGAAAAATCATGTCGTTCTAAACTTCATTCACCATAACCCTAACGAAGCTCTCTTGCTGAGCCGATTTTCGTAATCAGCAGGTCAGACAACCTTTATGAGCAAGTTTTCAGAGAACTTCAGGTTATTTCATTTTTTCTCTCTCTCTCTCTTTTGCGTTTTGCGCTCTGGAATCTTGCCGATGGATTTTGGTCAAAATGTTGATTCTCTCGAATTGTGAGGAAACTTCGCTTATAGAGGTTTTCGAACACGCTCTTTACAAAAAACGTGGGGTTTGAGTATTACA